TTGGTGAACAGGTCAGGCTACAAACCATACCAACCTTTGGGTCTTAAATCTTCATTTTTGGCCTCTGTCATTATCCTGGGGGTTCTTTTGCAAGGCTGTGACAAAGAGAATTAAAACAGGAATGTGGAGAGTGAATTGTGGTGAGGGTTTAGGTTCCTTCCCAGCCAGCTGGAAGTAGATGTTGGTGTTGGCTCAAACCCACTGGAGTGGGGTTTTGGCTTTGGTGTCACCAAGTTCCTGTGACAAGGAGGAGCTTGTGTGTCCCTCCTTGGGAGCTGCTGTCCCAGGAGCAGGGAGCAGGGAACAAGCCAAATTTATCCATAAAAACTCTGGGTTTTGGAGGTCATCAGTTCACATCAGCTGAGTTCAGCTTGTGGTGTTTGCAGGCTGGGATTTCCTTACTCCACCAAACCCAGCGTTGGCTGTAAAACAGTTCCAGTTGTCCTTGGGGTGGTCCCACTTCAAGCACTGGGTTTTTTCCCAGCTTTCCATTTATTTAAAACAAACCAAACAACAGAAAAACCCCTTAAATCGGTTTTGCACATTTGTGCTGGACTGGGGGGAGGATTCCTGCCTTTCTGAGGACTCTTTGTGCACAGTTATCTCAGTTCCCTCTGGGGATGGCAGCCCCAGCTCGGGGTGTTTTCCTGGGGGATTCCAGGGCCAGCTAACTGTGTTCACTTGTTTCCTTGCAGACCCCTGTAAAAGAGCCCAACAGTGAAAATGTAGATATCAGCAGTGGCAGTGGGGTGACGGGCTGGAAGAGCAAGTGCTGCTGAACCTTCTCCTCTCTCACCAATCGCCATCCACCGCCCCTTTTTTCTCGCTGCAAAACAAACCACTCTGCCCGTTTTTTAACCTGAAACCAATGGTTTTGTTCCTCATCTTAACGAGCTCCTGCCTCCCCTTGGTTTTCTGGCTAGGACAGCTTTGCCTACTCCAGTTTTCTCAACACATGTATAGGAAATTCATCTCCGTGACTTCATTTCCATGTCCCTGCTCAGCTCACCACTACGTCTGGGTTGTATTATAGTCCCGTCCCTCCTGCCATTAAACCCCAGAGCAATCATACTCAACTCTCTTCTGCAAATTGTATAAGAATAAAGGTTAGAATTAACAATTGATTTTGTACAACAGTGGAATTTTCTGTCATGGATCATGTGCTTGAGTCACCATATTCTGTAGATGCATCAGGCAAGAGCCAGGAAAAACTCATTTTCGCCTTGAGTCCGTGAGTGGGGTTTCTTTGTCCTGTGCCTTATGTGGAAAAAGGAACTTTTATTTTCACTTTCTTTTCTCTTTTCTGGTGGAAGCATGTGCAGGAGACATCCCATCCCCCCTGTGCCATTGAGTCCTGACCTCTGTAGTGGTTGCTTTCTGTAACGTTGGTGTCATGCATCGAGGACAAAGGGTGGTGCAAAACAAAAGCAAACTCCATGTAACCTGCTCTGTCTCCTCTTGCCAATCCCGCCGTTCCCAACTCTTCCTGCTGCCATTTTTTTCTCTCACTTTGCCGCTCTTTCCTTTATTTTTTTTCTCTTTTTTTCTTTTTTTTTTTTTTTTTTTGCCTGCATGCTGCTTTGATTTGCATTTCTCCATGGTGTGATGTGTTAATGGAAAGGATGGCAACGCGGTGTGTTTGCCAAAAATTTAATACAAAGCACTGATTTAGCTTCCGAGGTAAAAACGTTGAGATTCCTACTAACCCCCCTAGGCCTGTCCGTCACTAGTGGTTCCCTCCTCCTCCTCCTCCTCCTCCTCCCGCGTAGCCCCGGCCTTTCCCCCCATATGGAAGAGTTATTTGCATGCACTAGTTTCTATGGAGGGTGATGTGGTTGTCTACTTTCTGTGTATGAATATAACATGGATCCCCAAACTGACAGCAGTTCATTAACACGAGCTCCCAGCCTCTGTCCCCGAGGGCTGCGGGGCCGGCCCGGGCCCGAGCGGAACTGGATGGAAAGAGAAGGAAAGGAAAGGAAACGAACCAG